CGCATCCAGCGCCTTCATCACCGCTCACCAGAGGTTACGACCTGTAACCACTACAACCGATTTAATTTGTCGTAGGATCTTGTGTTTTGACAATTCGTTGGTCGTTCCTCGACTCCAAATAACACTTTCTTCCGGATAGGTTTATCACTCGTTGCATCGCAAACATGGCCGAGTCACAGTCAACAGCCATGTCCTCGAAGCCACGCACGAGCAGCATATCGCAAGCATCAGAAAGCTCGCAAACAGCAGCCGAGTACGTGCCTCCCGTAGCTCTGCTTTGGACGTGACAACTAACAGTATACCACCAGCTTTATCAAAGAACAACTCAGCCTCGAAGCAGAAGCACGCGAGGCTCTTCCATATGTCAGTACATATGCCGCCTCGATTGCGCGTTGACTTACAAGATGTAGCAATTCGACACCTGCACACGCGATCTCGGCCCTCTCCGCCAGAGCCTCTATGCATGCCTTACGTGCAACCCGGCACCAGCATCCTCCGCTCAGCAGTACACCCCAGCAGGCGTCTGCTACTCGTGTTCGATCTCGTGCCATGGCGAACATACTCTTGTTGAGCTGTTCAACAAGCGGGACTTCATATGCGATTGCGGAACTACTAGAATACCGGACATGACGCCTTGCACGCTCCGCCTCAACGTGGAGACTGGACGGAAAGGCGACGTGACGGGTGAGGAGCCAGCAAAGACGAACAAGTACAACCAGAACTTCAGGAATAAGTTCTGTGGCTGCGGCGAGGACTATGACCCCAATCAAGAGAAGGGCACAATGTTCCAGTGCCTTGGGCTTGGAACTTGCGAAGAGGGCGGCTGTGGCGAAGACTGGTGGCACCCTGAGTGCCTGGTAGGCTTCACTCGGGCTGAGTATAGCAAGATGATAGAGAAGCCGAACATTGACGACACGGCTGGTACGAAAGATGCAATGGAGACCGACAAACCTGCGACAGATGGAAATAAGAACAATGAACACACAGATGAAAAGGCACCTCCGAATTCAACGGATATTGCGGCTACAGTGGCAAGTGGTGATGGAGTTGACGGAAACGACATTGCAGGAGATGCTGGTGCTCAAGAGGACGATGACCCACCGCTACCTCCAGGTTTTCCTGAGGAGGACGACTTCGATCACTTCATCTGCTACAAGTGTGTTGCGGCAAACCCTTGGATCAAGCAGTACGCTGGTTCAACTGGATTCCTACCACCAGTCTTTCACGACAAGACTATCGCGCTTTCTTATGCACAAAAGTCCACCGTCTCAACTTCAGAGCACATGAACGGCGATTCCAAGAAACGCAAAGCTTCCGACGAAGACGAAGAGGAACAGACAGCAAAGCATCTTACAGCACCCGCCCCGGCTAAGCGCCAAAAGTCTGAAGACCCAAGTGGCACACTCTCCAGCATCCCCGAGGATACTAAGACACTTCCCATAACACTAAAGAAGCCGGAAACGCCAAAGCACGCTTCCCTCCCTCCTTTGCCCGAAGCTGCTCTCACAACACCCTTCTCTCTCTTCCTCAAGCCTGACTTCCGCGACCATCTATGCCACTGCGACGCCTGCTATCCTCAACTCAAAGCTCATCCTCAACTCCTAGAAGAAGAAGACACCTACGAGCCCCCCGTATCTGAAGAGGGCGAAGAAGGTGGACAGTCAGTTGGCACAGGCAGTATTCTCGATCGTGGCGAAGCAGCATTCAACAACATGGACCGTGTACGTGCTATTCAGGGTGCAATGGCATACGCGCACCTAAAAGACAAGGTCTCGGCGTTCTTGAAACCTTTCGCTGAGTCGGGTCAAGCTGTTGGCGCAGAAGATGTCAAAGCGTATTTTGAGAAGCTGAGAGGTGACGCGCAGGGTATTCAGGAGGCTGCTGGTGAAGCGAAAGCAAGCAGGGATGATGGAGATGATGGTGGAGCTGGAGGGGATGGGAGGAAGGAGCAAAGTGGGTATTGAGCGTATATTCGTCTCTTCGAACGGATACCGAAATTGGTTTCAGGGTTCGTAGGAACGCATATCTCACTAGGGAGTCATGTCAAGCCACAGTAGCACGAAATTGAATAACGACTTGTAGCACAACAAGAGATCAAGCTCTCTCGTATTCGAAAATCAACGACGAAATCATGAGCACAACTTTGCGAATCTGGGCGTAGTTGCTTTACAAAGCAGATGACATTATCGAATCTTGGGTATCAAATTAAAGCTACATTCTTTTTCTTGCAAACCAGCGCAATCAATCATTTTTACAAAACACATAAAAACATGCTAAACATCACTCCCTTGGCTGGCCGCTCAAGCCGTCACGGTTACAGTGGTCGTCTCCTTGACAGTCTCTTTTTCCGTTGCCGTCGCAGTAACAGTCACGGTAAATACCTGACTTGGTGGTATCGGTGTGATGATTAATGGGCCTTCCGAAGTTGTCGATGAGGGCACTGGCTCTGGCTCTGGTGACGCAGAAGATGGCATATCTGTAGGTGCCGGCGGTATTGGCACGGCGTCGGATGTCGATGCAGTTACCTCTGGAGGTGGCGCAGTAGAGGATGAGAGAGAGGGCTGCGAGGAAGCCTCTGGAAGTGATACCGCGGATGAAGAAGATGTGGTTGTTTGCGCCGAACTTTCAGGGGCACTTGAAGTGGTCGGTGTGATGGAGGATGCCATCGCGGGTGGTGTAGGTGTAGGCGCAGGAATTTCGGACATCGAAGACGATAGCGCGGGCGCCGTGGGCGTTGGCTCCGCTACCTCCGAAGAGGAACTTGCGATTGAAGATGATGGGGCCATCGAACTGGAAAGAACTGGCTCTGGCATAGCGGAAGAGACAGGCGTCTCAGGTGCCTGACTAGGTTGCGGTGTTGGCGTTGGCATGACTGTGGTGAATGATGTTACGATCACCACAGGCGGTACTTGAAGAGATGCTGACGGAGATACTTCAGCTGGAGCATTCGAAGGAGACGGTGTAGGTGCACCAGCAACTTCTGATAATAATGAAGAAGAAGAAGCTAAAGAAACGGACTCTTGCGCTTCGGATGGCATAGCTGACTCCTGTGCAGGTGTTTGGGGTGGCTGAGATGTCGCATAGATGGTGGTGTATTGTGTGACGACGATACGCGATGTTACATCTACGGCATCTGATGTAGTCTCGGAAGGTATAGCAGCTGTTGGCGAGCCGGACGATATGGGAAGTGGGAGTGCCAGAGAAGTTGAATTGACCAGAGGTGTGGAGGATGACGCCTGTACAACCGACTCGATCATGGAAGGAGTACTTGTAATCACCGAACTAGCAGTAGTATTGGCAACCGGCAAACTTGAAGGTGCTGCCGCGGGATGGGTGAAGCCAGACAAGCCTCCAGTGGTGGAAGCTAGGACCGCGCTTGTCGCCGATGCAGGAGGAGTAGCAAGCGAAGTAGACGTCTCTTCCTCTATGGGTGAGTAAGTGAACAATGGAATTTGCTGACTTGTCTGGCTAGCTGTCTTGTTATCGACCGCCCCTACTGAACTCGACAAAATTCCAGTTTCGATGGCGGACGAGATTGGCACACTGACGCTTTCTGTTGGCGTAGGTTCCAGACTTTGTGTCACTGAAGTAGTGGCTACTGCGCTTGAACTCTCCTCCGTACTTGGCAAAGCTGATGGCGTGATATATGAGGTAGAGAAGACTGTCTGTGGATCTTGTGTTACAAGTGGTTTCCCGTCGGGGAGGACGAAAGTGATAGCTGGTGCTATCGAAGTCAAGATAGTTTGTTGGATTGGCTCCACTATAATAGCAGTTTCTGCTTCCGCAATTTGTTGTGTTGATGTTGAAAATGCGGCAGAGGTAGTGTTAGCATAACTCGTAAAGCTACACGAAGTCAGCTATTATTCTCGCAATATTTGAGTGAGCTTCTTACAGTTGCCTCCGTTGATGCTTGGGGACCGGCCCGGCGATTATTGATGTTGAATAAGCTGCCAGCAGCAGAATAGTGGAGAAGATAGCCATCGTCAAGACGACTCTTTATTAGGAGTGGATGAACGAAGGAAAGACGGCGCTTGCAGTCAAGATGGAAAAACGATGGACTGAAGGACAAGACTGAGATAGTGAACGATTAAGAGAAACGATCGGCAAGGAGAAACAGACGGCAAGGAAAGAGAACAAGGAAAAGAACGAGAATCGTTCGTCTCAAGCAAACTACAGTCTAGACGTTCAGATGGCTACGGTGAGGGCCTCACTGCTGAGCGGGCTGGCAGCGGGTTTTGAAGCTGCATTAGCCGCCATGAGCACGGTTTGAGTATACAATGGAACAAAGAGTAGTACTGGCCCAGCATTGTCGCAGTGGCCTGTAATTTGGACGTGTCACGGGGGGCTCAGAGGAAAGTAGCGCTGGTGAGTGGAGGAGTGGCTGTGGTGCTCTGGAGCCGTGACATGGTGTTTCATCCGTGGACCAATGAGACGGCGATATGGCATGATAGAGCCACGACCTCCAAGCGCCTGGCCGAGCGACTCTGCCTCCGGTGCAGAGCCTCCAGATCCCCATATGCCAGAAATAGCCTTTCGGAATGAGGCTCGATTACGCGACCCGAAGCCGTTGAGTGCTGCCGCTTGCCGCTTGTTCACGCAACACACTGCCGGCTCTCGGCTTTGCGATGCGTTGGAGACGTGGACCCTGCAGGATTTCTCCACAACACCGCATCTCAACATTCACGATAGACTGCCAGCTAGATGCCTGCAGGTAGCAGGTATAGCTATCGACGATTTTCATAGTGGATCGAGATGTGTTGGCGGGTTTGCACGTGCCTGATGTTCATTCGTCTGGGCGGTGGGTGGTTGCTCAGGTAACAGGCGAGTTTCGACAAGGAAGAACAACACAGACCGCCATTCCGCTAGGACCAGGCCCTTTGCATTGGCAGAATATCGCCAGAGCTTCGACGTCACGTACGGTAGGTCCAGCATTCTTTTCTCTGTAGACGTAGCCTTTTGTTTCTCTTTTATCGTGCCGCCTTGCATCCTCGGTCTTCACCATGAGCGTACGCGTCGTCGCGAGGATACGTCCTCTTCTGAAACAGGAGCTCGACAAAGACACCATTGTCACCGCAGAGACATTGGACGGCGAGACTACCCCGGCCGTCGTACGGATACCGAGTCCCAAGAACGAGGCCGAGTCCTTCAGCTTCCAATTCAGCTCTGTGTACGAGCAGGACGCGACACAGCAGCAGCTTTTTGACGCCGAGAGTGAGTTCGCGATGGGACGCGTTTCGGGACGGAAGCTGACTCCAGGCTAGTCGCGCCGACGGTGAAGCATCTCTTCAATGGCTTTGATCTATCCATCTTTGCGCATGGCTGTACCGGCACCGGCAAGACACATACGATGCGAGGAGGGAAGTCGCTGGCAGACCGCGGTGTCATCCCAAGGCTGTTGAGCTCAATATACCGGCGATGCAAGAAGATCGAGAAAGACACGGCCGGTGCCACACAAGTCGAGGTTGCTCTGGAGTACTTCGAGATCTACTGCGATCGCGTCTACGATCTGTTCGAACCCCCGGAGAAGCGCACCCCGTCTGGTCTGCCCATCAGAGACAACCACGGCAAGACTGTCGTCGTTGGTCTTATCGAGAAGCCATGCACAACACTGAAGGAGTTTGAGCAGCTTTACGATCAAGCCAACATGAACAGGTCCACCTCTGCTACCAAGGTTAGAGTCCACACGCGTCTGAGATAAACACTCCTAACGATACTGCAGCTCAACGCACACTCCTCCCGGTCGCATGCCGTCCTCTGTGTAAAGATCACGCAAACCACCGAAGAAAGTGTTCGCGTCAGCCGAGTATCTTGCATTGATCTTGCAGGATCCGAAGACAACAGACGAACCGAAAACAACAAAGAGCGCCTCGTCGAGAGTTCGGCCATCAACAAGTCGCTGTTCGTGCTTGCACAATGCGTCGAAGCCATGAACAAGAAAGCCAGCCGGATTCCATACCGCGAGTCCAAGATGACGCGAATCTTGTCCCTAGGTCAGAATAAGGGCTTGACTGTCATGATTCTGAACCTTGCCCCAACCCGCGCATACCATCTCGACACAATCAGTTCTCTAAACTTCGCTAGCCGGACGAAGAAGATCGAGGTCGCAGAGGTGGAAAACGACCCAATGTACAAGACGGCAGTTAAGCCATTGGCGACAACCACGAGCCTTGGTGGAGCAACCATGGCACGGCAACCGCTCAGATCGCTCGCGGCCAAAGCCAATGCGAACATCCCAGAGCCAGAGAAGCAGAAGAAAGGGGAAAAGCCTATCAAGGCCTTCTCTGTGTACTCTGATTCTCACAAAGCTGCTCCTCGTGTGACTAACCTTGCACAAAACCAAGGAGTACGGAGAACAGAGGGTTCCAAGCGAGCAGCTGAACCTAGCACCACCTTTGCGACCCGACCGACAAAGGCATTCCGAACTGGGGATAACACCTCACGGATACCGAGTAAAGAGCCTGCCCTGACAAAAGCCTCGATTGAAGCTCTCATCGCACAGAAGGTGGACGAGGCTCTAGCAGCCAAGGCGTTGCAAGATGCTGGCACAGCTGCGCCAGCGCTTTCTGCAGAGCTGCAGAAGCGTTTGGATGAGCTCGAGCACCGCATCGATGCACACGAAGAGGATGGAAAGTCGCAGGGCTTGCAGTTCCTGCTAATGGCCAAGCAACACCACATGCGTGGAGAAGATACCAGTGCACTGAGAATGTACCAACTGGCACAGCCGTTTTTCCCTGGCAACGCAAAGCTAGAGTCCAAGATGAAAACACTCGAAGACCGAATACGCGCCAAACGGGAGGAAAGCATCAAGCACGTCTCTGCTCCCGTTGAACTCCCGTCGCACACTGCAGCCCCCGTCACAAACGTTCTCATGGCCCCCCTGAAAGCTGAAAAGAAGACCCCAAAGCCTAGGATAGTCTACAGAGATGAGTCCGAAGATGACGATGAATTTGCTCCCCCGCCGCCCTCTGACCACGAAGAATCCTACGCCTCCGACACTAGCTTCCAACACACCAGCAAACCCAAAGTCACCCGCAAGCCAAAGAAGACTACCAAGAAACTGCCCATATTCCGTGACGACGCCGCTGCTACTGCTACCATCGATCTACCTGTCCATTCCGCCGCTCAACAAACACCTCGCACTTCGCACCTTCTTAAGATTATCAACTCACGAGACGTCAACCAGATCAAAGCGCTAAAGGGTGTGGGTGCAAAGAAAGCGGATAACATCGTAAACTGCCTGGTCGAAATGGATGATGCGGAAATTATGGATCTGGAATCGCTGGCTATGCTTAAAGGTGTTGGAGGCAAGACGGTGGATAACATGAGGATGGGGTTGAGCCTTAATACTAGTTACGATTTCTGAGCTTAGGCTCGCTTTTTGCTGTTCGTTCTTACCAAGCATGGTGTTCACGGCGTTTTTGGCAGCGCGCCTGTCGTGAGCGCATGTTTGCATTGCATAGAAATGGCGTTTTGGATTTGGTAGCAAAGACTGCCTTGCATAGTTTGGTCCTTGGAATTCCGACTCTTCATCACCGGTGCTTTCCGTCGAAGATGTACTATTCACTCAGGTTGTCATAGAGGTGAAGGGATAATAGCAAATCGTTCAAGATATCATTATCATACAGGATCGTAGCCTCAATCTCAGCCCAGAAGAAAGTAACCGCACTCGTTCAACCAAACTCAATCCCCCATTAGGGAAGCGACTAAAACGGCCAAACCCAGTCCTCAGTCTCCTTAGGGTCCATGCCCTCGTGGTACGCATAGTTCTTGGCCTTGATCTGCTCATCAAGTAACTTCTCCCTCGTTGCCGCACCCTTGTTACCCAAGCTGGGGATGTTGTCGAGTGCGTCAATCGCCAAGCTGTAGCGGTCAGTACCATTCCTGATAGCCAGCTCGAGAGGAGTGTCAATGTTGCCCTTCTCCCTGTATCCGCGGACGATCAGGTTCTGCTGGCCCTTGCGTCCATATGTCAAGCGGTGGATCAGCCAGGGGTAGGAGTGGAAGTTGAAGATACATGGTACGTCATCGGTGAAGATGGCCTTGTACTCGTGTGCCTTGAGACCGTGAGGGTGCTGCTCCTCGTCGATGAGCTTGAAGAGATCGACAACGTTTACGAAGCGGATCTTGAGATCAGGCAGATGTGTGCGTAGCAATGCTGTCGCGGCAAGGGATTCGTGTGTGGAAACATCACCACACGATGCCATGACAATGTCAGGCTCTTGATCCTTGTCATTACTCGCCCATTCCCAGATACCAACGCCCTTTGTGCAATGGGCGATGGCTTGCTCCATTGTGAGATATTGGAGGTGCTCTTGCTTGTCGGCAACGATGACGTTGACGTAGTTTTCGCTACGAAGGCAGTGATTCATCGTTGAAAGTAGGCAGTTGGCGTCTGGCGGGAGGTAGATACGGACAACTTCAGGACTCTTGTTCGCCACTACGTCGAGGAATCCAGGGTCCTGGTGAGTGAATCCGTTGTGATCTTGTCGCCAAACAGTCGCAGTACTAAATGTAGGTGTACGAAGTCAGTCTATGTCCCATATGCTTTTCGTACAGAGACACTTACAGCAGAATGTTGAGTGAAGCAATCTTCTGTCTCCACTCGACTTCGAGGCACTTCTCAATCCATTTACAGTGCTGGTTGACCATGGAGTCAATAATGTGGATGAAAGGCTCGTAGCTGTTAAGCAGACCGTGTCGTCCAGAGAGGATGTAACCCTCCAACCAGCCCTGAGCAAAGTTAGTATTACGGTATTAAAGAGGTTTGTGTATCTTACCTCTACAGTGTGCTCAGACAGCATCTCCATAACGCGCCCTTCGTAAGCTAAGTTACCACCATCCTCGTCCTCCTCAAAGTACTCGCCCATCCAGACCTTTTTGCCTGCCTCGTAAACCTTGCCGAGCTTGTTGGATTCAGTCTCGTCAGGACCAAATAGACGAAAGTCTTTCTGGTTCTCTTTGATGATGTCGCGCAAGAAGGCCGCGCAGTTGGCCATACTACCGACCTTGGCAACACCACCCTTGGTCACCTCGATAGAGTAGTCACGGAAGTCGGGTACGTGAAGCTTGTGGCGGATAAGACCACCGTTTGTGACAGGGTTGGCGCTCATCCTCCTGTTGCCAGTGGGGGCCAACTCTCTAAGTTCAGGAACAAGCTTGCCGTTCTTGTCGAAATGCTTCTCAGGCTCGTATGAGCGCATCCACTCTTCCAATATTTTGAGCTGAGACTTATCCTTGAGAACATTCGTAAGAGGGACTTGATGCGCACGCCAGAAACCTTCCAAGAAGTGGTCTCCATCGAGCTTCCTGGGTGCTGTCCAGCCCTTGGGTGTACGGAGCACGATCATGGGCCAACGCGGCCTGAAAGCTTTGCCCGAGTCTCTAGCCTCTTTCTGATATTCGCGGATCTTTGTGACACATCGTTCCATCGTAGCGGCCATAGCTTGGTGCATCGATGGGATATCGCTGCCCTCGACGAAATAGGGTGTCCATCCGTAACCAACGAAGAGCGCTTCGAGCTCCTTGCGGCTCACGCGAGCGAGAACCGTGGGGTTGTTGATCTATGCAGTATTAGCCAAATCCTTCCACAATGTTAAGTGCCATACCTTGTAGCCATTCAGATGTAGTACGGGCAAGACCGCACCATCCGTGATCGGGTTCAGGAATTTGGTTGAATGCCAGCTCGTAGCAAGGGGACCAGTCTCAGACTCACCGTCTCCAACCATAGTCAGAGCGATGAGATCTGGGTGATCAAAGACCGTTCCGAAAGCGTGAGAGATAGAGTAACCTAGCTCACCACCCTCATGCAAGCTACCAGGTGTTTCGGGTGTGGCATGAGATCCAATTCCACCGGGGAACGAGAAAGATTTGAAAAAGCGCCTCATACCCTCCTCATCCTCGCTCTTGTCAGGGTAGACCTCGGAGTAGACTCCCTCGAGGAAACTGTTTGAGAGAACAGCGGGCGCGCCATGGCCAGGGCCAGAAATGAAGATAGCGTCCAAATCGTACTTCTTGATAAGACGGTTCTACAAAGTTACAAAGTTAGCTTGTTACGATTCGAGAACCGCATATAATTGTTCATACCATGTGAATCCATGTGAAGCTCTGTCCAGCATCCGATCCCCAATGTCCCAAAAGGCGTCGCTTGAGATGGTCCAGAGTGAGTGGGTCGCGGAGAAGAGGGTTCCTCCGAAGATAGATCATGCCCAAGCACATGTACAGAGAAGCATGGAAATAATCGGTCATCTTCCGCACCTCATCCTCGCTGAGCGGATGTTCGGTGACTGATGATCTTGCGGGCCCGTATGGGGAAATGCTGAGGTGCTCGACATCTTCAACTACTGTCTCTGGGTCTACTGGAGCTTTCGCTACCATGGCGTCCATGATCACAGGTTGTCTGAAAGGTCCGACCTTTCTTCCGTTCAGGTAAGGTCTCGAGTGCCGCTAGGTCTGGGAGAGGTGGCTGAATTGCGTGGGATATAGAGGCTCCAAAGAGCAATTGCAAGCAGAAAATACGTGTAGAGATTGAGGAGTAAGGGTTTCAGATAATGTTGGAGAGTAGAGGTAGAGGACCTTTAAGCAGTCGCGCGGCAGTAGTCGCGGTTGCAAGCTTGGAAGCTGGTCAGCGGCAGAGCCGGAGACGCTCTCCTGATCCATTGAGCTCTGTCATTGGTGCTCTGCACGTAATCATGCTACTGCAGCGCGATACCATCATAGCTACAAATTCCTTTTGGGTCTGTTTGTTGGTTGCGTCATGGCCTGATGGACCGAGGTGGGGTCAACCAACAGTCACGCTAGTGGCGACGCGTTCCTGTCAATCCTCGCCATCTGCCATACATGGCGTGATATATGTCTGAGCTGACTGAGCCGGCGACGAAGAGTACCTGGATACCGGATGCTTCTCTTTCCGCTTGTAAAATAAGAATTGTGCTCAAGTTGGCGTGGCAAGGTTGATGCGCCAGTTCTGAGTATACCTTTAGCATGCTCTCAACAGCGGAACGCGGCGGACAAGCAAGCCTCCACTTCCCATCCAACCCTGGTTTCGGTGTCGGAACCTTTATCCGAGCGGACAATGATCTACGCAGGCATCTATCGCAAGTTTGCGACTAAAGCATCTTTGTACAGCCTGGGCAGACTCGTGGCCTCAGGGAATGCTTCAAACCCCAATCATTGCTACAATAAACCCTAGATCAAGTGAACAGATAACGTATCTCATTGCTCTAAAATATCTATAGTATATCCTTCAATGCATTCCATAATCTCCTTCCGCAGCAATCGTCCTCTGGCATTCAGCAAAGATGGCAGCCTGTCTTGCTACATCAGCAAGTCGCCCAACGACCAGCTTATTGCCATCGAGGAAACCATATAGCGCATACGGAATGTCGACCTCGTTACAGAACTCCTGAACCAACTTCTGGGTTTGTCTTAGGTTATGACGGGGGATCCGTGGATACAGATGGTGGATGGCCTGGAACTGAAGGCCACCGTGGAAGAAATCCAACCACTGAGGGCAGTCAACATCCATCGTTGTGCGAAGCATCTTCTGAGCAAATGACTCGTGGATACCTAGATCCGCTGTACTCATAGCGAAATGGGACAACGTGATTTGCACATGGAGTGGAGACGTAAGTGCGTGGGCAATCATAACAAACCAGAACCGACTCCAGTTGTCAGGTATGGACTTGTATACCACTCCGTAGCCGAACCAGGTCCAAAAAAATGCCATGCCTATCAACTCAAAGTATCGGTGCCACCATGCAGGCCCTTTCTTGGGGCCCTTTCCAAGGAGCAGATACATCCAAGACAATCTATACAGATTGAAGCGTGCGAACAGCATGATCGGGTAGTAGGTGTAGTGTTGAATTCGGATCATGAACTTTGCGAAGGCATCGTATTCCATGACCCACTCGTAAAAGGTCGTGGTGAGACTCTCCATAAATCGATGCGTGATAGAGAAGAAGGGAATGTATTGAATATCGGGATCGTGTTCGGGGTGGTTCGTAACAAGATGGTGCACGTTATGGTTGTATTTCCACCAGCAAGCGCTCAACCCGCCTACGTACGAGGCAATGAACATTGCGATGGTGGAATCGGTCGTAAAATCGTGGGTGATGCCCATGTGTCCGGCATCATGGACCGTGAATGTAAGCTGGTGCCAAAGGCATGCAAGCGCGATGGCACTAGTAATATACCAGCCAGATGATAACAAAAACAGGAATCCGGCTAAGAAGGACCCATAACGTAGGCATTCGATACCGTAGGCGGTATAGTTGCAATCGTAGAGGCCTTCCTGCTTTATACGCTCTTGTAGCTCGCGGTACTTTTGTGTGATGTGATCTTGGGTGGCTGGATCTAGAGACGGGT